TTACTAAATAATAAAGTAAGNTAATACTTACTTACTAGTAAGTAAGGTTAGGTGAANAGGAGGGAGGGNGACAGACGACGAAAGAAGAANATCACTACAGAGAGAGAGAGAGGAATAGAGAGAATCGTGCCAAGGAGACTCTCAGGCAAAGGAACAAGATTTTAACAATTCACTACCAATGCATGTACTCACACACGCAGACCCCACACACACAGTCATACCAAACAAGTTTACATTTGAAAACCAAGACTAAAATTACAAAATCTAGGATTAGATTATGACAGCTTGAGAAACCTATAGCCAGTTTGGGATTATATCTAGATGAATCAATAGAGAGCTACTTTGGGATTATATTAGATGGAGAAGAGAGAGAGAGAGAGTCACACCAGGGCACTATCTGGCAATGGAATAAGATTCAACAATTCATTGTCGGGGTATTGTGTAGTTTCTTTGATATGGCTCTGATTGATAGGCCCGTTTTCTTTGGCCGGAGATGAGCACATGTCTCTATTCCCATTAGCTAAAATTTCCCCAGCTTCAGCCAGTGCAGCGGCAGTGTGCCCACTCAGTTCCCTCATTAATCCAATAGCATCATAACTCTTCTCCCCTGGACTCATGAAGAAATCTAGGTCCTGAATAAATAAATGAAAATAGTGAAATTCAAGTCCATAAAAGTTTAAACTCTAAAACAATGCCACACTGAAAATAAAAGGTGGTGTAAAGATTCAAAACAATCTATAGGGAAAAGATTTGTTGGCAACACGGGCAAAACATACCATGTCAGGGAGGACTTCATTGACTCTGAAACTCTCGTATTGTCTTCAAGATCAATATTTTAAAAAGGAAAAAAGAAATATTCTTTTGAGGCTTTCAACAATTCTCCAAATCAATTCCCTCCCAAGACTGACTATGGACCATCACCATCCATCAAAAAGGATGATCATAGTGGACTTAGAGGGTCATAATCATCTTTTCTTTTTGTTGAAATTATCACTTAATGATGATTTGGAAAATTCCAGGTGACAAAATTTTCAGTGTTTTCCCATATATGACCCCCACAATACCACCATTTATGTGTCCCAATCTATACATCCTGAAGCCACATACTGATATGGCAGTACAATGCCCTAAACCACAAAAAGACTCGTCATCTGACATTGGACGATGATGAAGCTTCATTACAATGGCCAAGGGTTTAGAATTGTTTCCAGGTATCTAGTCATTATCAATTAATGGTTCACAAGTAGCTTCCCTCTAGCAGCCAAGAAAAAAGTATAGCATGCAGTTGTTTATGGGTCATTACTCTTTAGCAGTATTTGAAAACCTGGATAGTTGGGGCAGATCATCCACCCACCGATCCCATGTTGGATTGCCAGATCACAGACCCAGAATGATTGCATTGGTCAAAATATTAAAAAAATAACAAATAAAAGCTTTATATATTGTTTATATTGCATTTTTAAACCAAATGTACTCGAACACATTAGTGGTAGGCCTTGTGGCCACTTGTCGCAAGGCCATGGGTTGGGATCCCATTCATTGCTCTTTTAAGAGATTCGTATTTTAAAAATATACATGCTTCGAAGGGATTCGAACTTGAGATCGCACGTTAAAATACAATGTGTACAAGCCATGCTCTTAGGAACATTCAATTGCAGCAAAAACATAAACTATATTTTTTATACCAAAGCGATCCAGCCCAAAAACCTGATCAGTAATGGGTGATTCCCAATTCGGATGGGGCGAATTCCAATCCGGATCTGCGATTTTCAAAACACTGCTCTTTAGAAAGTTATAAGTCTGGTATAATTTCAATATAGTCCTGCTTTTGAGTAAAGAAAAAGGACATGTAACATAGAGGCTATTTTTTAGGCATTGGTACCCAGATGGTAAAGGCATGGATCAAACAGCAAACAGATAATAGCGATGAATAGTAGTCAATCATAGCTGCACCAGAAAGGAAAGGACAAATGAGAGAGCAAGGTGCCAAAAGAAGTAGCAACGAAAAAGGTCAAAGAGAAATGAATTTTCATTTTACTTTTTTCCCCAGAGAGTGTCATTGAAAAATGACGCAAGAGAAACTGGCAGTACCTCTATATACCATGGGGACTTCCAAGCTGAAGGGGAATCAATGCCTCTCTTAATACCAGGAGTATTGCAAAATCTGTCAATGAAAACAATTGCCTTCAGAAACTAAAAAACCAAGTTAAGTATGTCATAAAGAGACAAAGTGAAGTAGAAAAGGAAGAATTGTGCCGTAAGCTTTGCTCTATATGGAAATCATATCCTTAATGCAACGCCAATTAATAAATAAAATATATTGTCCTATCATTTCAAATAATGAATTGATAAGCAGCATGAAAGAACAGTGTCAGAGCATAAATGTCCTCATAAAGAAAAAAAGTATCAAATGTGGCAATAATCATAAAATAATTGAATATAACCTCATAAGCAATCAAATGTACTGAAGCATAGCAATTTTGGACAGACCGTTCAAAAAAGAATATAATAGAAACAGATTATAAGAAAGGACATAGAAGAAAAAATGTCCTCTAAGATAATCATTATTGAGAGCATAGTTAATAAGTATCACACACTGCAGTGTACAAAAAATGATATGTAGAAACTTAGTGATTTAGCAGTATAGTCACTTTACACTACATTCCAATATGAGGCCACTTGCTTTTTTTTTTGGGTAATTCAGTGGGGAAGACAAGCCCCTACCTGTTTTTTCAAGTAAATTAGGAGTTAGCTTTTTTGAAGGTATTAGTGGGGTGGTGTTAGTGGTGGGAATGGAAACCACAACGTGGTAACTAGAGTATGGGGTGCTCCCACCACGACTCAAGCCCCTTTCCGTGAGGCCACTTGCTAATAATGTGATCATGAAAAACCTTGCAGAACAAGGGAATCTTCAAGCACACAAAATGAACACCAAAACTTTGATACTTTCAATTATAGCAAGCTGCCTCCACTCTAAACTACAAAGGAGGTAAAAACCACATACAGAATAATAATGCCCATTCACAAATCTAAAAGTCTTCAAGCATAACGACCATAGAGCATAATAAGTCATGATTCGCAGTTCCAACAATGCAAACGAACACAAAGCATGGTATCGTTCAGTTAAAAAACTCGATTTAGTATCAGTCCTGAATATGGCAAAATGCAAGAAAAAACTAATCCATAAAATACTCGATGTGACAGAATTCAGAGCAATAGTATGGCCTTAATGCACCTAAGAAAATAGTATAAGATAACTCCCTAATCAAATAAAAGGAACCAAACATAATGGCAAAACAGAGTAGCGCAATTTCATTCAATTACCTGGTGGAAGCATAGACCCTGGCAATGTAATACTTGGCATGCAGTGGACATACTACCAGGACTTATCACATGGCAATAATGAAAGGAAAAACAAGACTCACATGCTAATGTTTTCGACATCTTCCTTGTTACTTGGTATCCCCTTCTGCCCAGAGATTCGAGGATCGTGTTTTCTATCACATAAACTAGGAGACACGAAACAAGATAAACAAGAACTCTCAAATGCATGATCGTAACGACCCTTTCTGTCCACTTGACTGAGTGTTATCTCCTTGTGTTTGCGTAAATGTGACCTTGGAGTCCTAGTGCAACCTTTTAGGGGTCTATTTATTGGACATTCATCTCCAGTTGGGGAAAACAGCTGTATATCATTGACATTATGTGCACTAAGAACTCCAGAAGGTTGCATCTGAAATAAGTAAGTAACTTAATAAATAAATGAGACAAAAAAACGATGTCGTAATCCAACAAGAATCACAACATCGTATAAGCAATCCCATCACTAATTAAAGCATTACATGTACAGACAAAAGCATAAGAATCAAGAAAGATTGACTCACTGTTCGGTTCTCATCAGAAGTTTCCAAGTTAGCCATCTTATCAGTGACTTGCTTTACCTCATTCTTGGAATTACAGAAATCCAATTGTGCATCCAGAGAGCTACCTTCATCTCTTAGATCTCGAACAAAATGAGTATCATTAAGTTTACTAGAAGCCATGGGTTTCTTTTTCAAACGATATTGTGGAGAAGGCATGTGAGATCCCTCACCACCGAATGAAGACCTACAAGCACCATTCTCATCCAAACATGAACTCTCGCATTTATCATGATAGGGTGTAGAAAACAATCCACGATTCAATTCCCTCCCTGGTTCATTGTCACGCTTCATTTCCAGTACAGGTGTTGAAGGATCGCGTGGCCGTTTCTTTAAAATGGAAGGGGTAGAACCAAAGCTTTTAGCCGCACTCTTCAAAACAGCATCTGGACTTGTATCACAAGGAGAATCCCATAGGCGATAAGGCGTAGAACACTCAATGGAAGAGAACATCATTTGCTGCCGAATACCAAGAGGGCTATATGCTTGTTGGAGATCACCTCCACATGCTACCAGATCACAATTGACAAAGGGTAGGTCCCAACTTGGAATTCGAGGTGGCTCATAAAACAAAGCTTCAGAATCCAATTTTTCAGAATGTGGTCTATGATTTTCATCAATGCCACGAGAATGTGTTCTACAGTTATCCTCTGATACCAAATTTGACATGTTTGTGTCAATCTGTGCAGGAGCTTCAGTTTCATTATGTGGCTTCAAAAACTCGTCATTAGGAGCAATGGGACAACAAACATCACCCTTATCGAGCCGTGGATTTTGCATCTGACTTGATCCAATATTAGCACTACCGCAATATGAAATCATGCAACCATGCAAATCAATAATATCAGAAATTCTGTACCCTCCATGCTCTCCTCTGGTCTCAGAAAACTTGCTTCCAATACCATTATTAGGTACCATGAAGACTTCATTTTCATGTTTATCAGGACTCGATATATTTCTTTGTGGTGTAGTAGGTGAACGGAAGTAATCAGTACATTGTGAGAGAACAGAATCCTTTATATTTGATGTTTTCAATGGTCCAGACAATTCCTCATCTCTTTCCAATAAAGTTGTCTTTGACACCTCAATGGAGTTCATCCCACAAGCATCACCAACTGAATACCCATCCTCATGCCCGTCAACTTCCTCAGGAACTTCGGATTCAGCTTCGGGCAAGGCAGGTATGTAATAATCCTCTGAACATGGCGATGCAAGATACTCAGTTGCATCCTTCTTGTTAGCTTCATCTGATATATTCAACAACTCCGATGCATGGTGAATGGCTTGAACAGATGTATCAGCCAAACCACAAGGTTCAGATTGGAAGAACCCAACTGAAACTGATCCTTGACTACATTCTGACATATCATCCACTCCAACTGCATCCTTGAGACTTTCATCCCCTGTGGTTGGTTGATTCCATGTAGAAGAGGAGGATGGGACACATAGGGTAGTTGGGTCCACGTGAGAGAAGCCAGGAAACTGACCAAGTAAACCAGAGGCCACATATGAAGCTAGCTTTTTTTTTAAGGAGCTGTTCCAATGATTCTTGATTGCATTGTCTGTCCTGAGTACCAAATAGCATATATGTAGTAAGAAAATCAGATGGACGTAAAATTTTTAAGGAATGAAAAGAAGTGCAAAGCTAGCATTGTCCAAAAAAAGGAAACAACACAATATGGAGACAAGGAAAAAGACAACAACATTTATTCCTAGATACAATATTGAATGACAAAAAGACATCTACACACATATGATAACTACACAGAGGACATATTTATGCATCACAAATATATATGTGATTGGAAGCATACAGATTATGTTGCACAGACATGGGTATATGTGTGTCAGACATGGATATGGGGTGTTGGATTCCTCATGCCATGAAGAAGAGGATTCAATGACATGGTTATATTAAGGACGCAAAACTGCATGCAACAATGACATGGTTATATCAAGAAAAAATCAGTTATAAATAGCAGCTGGCTCAACCCTTAGAAATGTTCAAAGTTCCATGGATTTTTCTTTTCTTTTTCACGTGTCTGCTGAAAACAAAATAGAAGATCAAGTCCTAAATGATGTTATCAATGGTTAGTAAACAAGAGGAATCCAGAAGAATCTCTTTAGTATGTGTTGATACATGTCAGACATGGGGACAACACCCAAAAGGAAGAATCCATGTAACATGCCTGATTTATTTGTCTTGTGATACCCCCCCACTTGAGACACCCATGCAAATGCAAATCTTACACGCACATGCACACAAAAACACACAAGGAATACATGGATATTTCAAAGGCATATATAGATGCATAAACACGCCCATACACATCACATCACAAACACATGCAAATGTTATACTATACACATTGTACAAAACACAAACATACAAGCATTCGTGCAGACACATATAGAAGTATGTTAGCGTGCTAAATTATCTATCTTCATAAGGGCCCTAACATGGCCACTAGATGATTTACTAATCCTTTTGCCAACCAAATTACTTAGTTGTACAGGAACCTAGGATATAGGTAGTTGCTCCCACTTAAAACTTTAATCTTCCTATGCAATTACTGATGTAAAAAGGTTCTTGTCCCATTCCCTCTCCGTCTTCTCCCGAAAATGTTAGCTAGGTGATGCCAGTAGCCAACATCAATTATCCACTTCACACAAGAAACATAAACAAAAATACAAATCTTAGACTGAAAAGAGATGCAAACAAGACATTTCTTTAAGTGCCAGCTGCTCTGACAAGTTCACATTTGACACATGCAATAGATCAAGAGAACGTAAAAGATTCACAGGAATGATTAAACAAAAAACAATTAAGTGATAACAGCTAAATAAATGACTAAGTTTTTCCAACTGCAGTGAAGTCAAACAAAAGAGTGAATCATTGCCTTGTAATGCTACATGTCAAAAATTAAAAGCCTACCTTCCAGGTAAGAATTTTGCCAACTCTGCCCACTTGTTTCCATACTGTTGATGAGCACGGATGAGTGCCAACTCCTCCTGTTGAGTCCATGCCTCTTTGCTTATTGCAGGATTCAAATGATTGTGCCACCTATGAAATTGATACAACTCACAAGATTGAATAAAACATCTTACAAATATATGCATGACCAAGGATTCAGTCACAAACACAATCAAGGCATCGTGAAATGCTACTAATGTGCAAACCCTCAAGAGTGACTTCAGTGAATATGAAAGAAATCATAGATTAGCAGACAGAAAACACAAAATATAGAAATATGAAACCATATATAACGTAAGACCAAGATTCAGAAGCATATAACCCCTCAAGACCAGAATAAACCATTATCAAAATGAATGCAGTTTTTTCCTTTCTACCAAAAAGGTGGTGGTCAAGTCCTATTTCCCATCCTAAACTGTGAACAATTACAAAATAATGTAAACAAGATGATATGTTTCCCCATACAAATCTTCATACCACTTTCATCATCTAATAAAGTTGTAGCATATGCAGCAATCAAATAGTCTGCTGCATTGACAACAGAAAACTACCAAAAAGGTGGTCAAGTCCTATTTCCCATCCTAAACTATGAACAATTACAAAATAATGTAAACAAGATGATATGTTTCCCCATACCACTTTCATCATCTAATAAAGTTGTAGCATATGCAGCAATCAAATTGTCTGCTGCATTGACAACAGAAAACTACCAAAAAGGTGGTCAAGTCCTATTTCCCATCCTAAACTATGAACAATTACAAAATAATGTAAACAAGATGATATGTTTCCCCATACAACTCTTCCTACCACTTTCATCATCTAATAAAGTTTTAGCATATGCAGCAATCAAATAGTCTGCTGCGTTGACAACAGAAAACTACCAAAAAAGTGGTCACGTCCTATTTCCCATCCTAAACTGTTAACAATTACAAAACAATGTAAACAAGATATATGTTTCCCCATACAACTCTTCATACCACTTTCATCATCTAATAAAATTGTAGCACATGCAGCAATCAAATAGTCTGCTGCCTTGACAACAGAAAATCGACAACTAGCTTCAAAGTATATGACGTAGAGAAACAAAAGTTAGAGTCTTACAATCCAATCCATGAGCCAAACTCAGCTTATGCCAGTTACATGTCATGAAATGTTTTAGGCAGCATCAGGGGAGGAGTCTTATTGCAGTAAAGATCCATGGTAAACAGACCACTACCTAGCAGCTACTTTTAGAAATGGGTGGGCAATGAAAATACCACTCCAAGCTCATGTTTTACAATAGAAAAGTAAATATCATGTAAGTTCTTATTCTATTGTACTATTTGAAGTGGAAAATCACCTGTATAATTGTGACCTTTTTCTTTTTTTTTTGTTTGGGAGGGGGGGTTGGGGGCAGGGGAGAGGCGGAGGTGTATCAAAACTTCCCATTTGAAATTACGCTCGCCACTTACAAAGAGAACACACACTTCCTCCAATCAAAACCATGACCAACAAAACATATTCAACCAAATATGCAGTTAAAGTCTCGAATTTGTGTGAGTAAGCCTACATGTATTCCAAAAAGCAATCAATCTTCTTAGACTTCTACGAATTCTAACAAATGTGAGTTTCTTTTGAGTGCACAATTAGTAGCATATACCTTTGAGATTGGGGCAGGAATCATGCTTGCATTATTTCAATGAATATCAGGAAGAACGACCAAAGAAACAACAGTTAAATCTTACCTTTCACGACACTGCTTTCCAATCCGTCCAGGTAATGCTTGTGCAATGGTTGACCATTTTTTGGCCCCATGTTGCCGTACAAGCTCAATAATCATGTCATCCTCCTACAAAACATGTCATAACCAATCAAATATGATGAAGATGTCGCATCTCAAAACCTACAAGTTTCCCAATTCAAAAATTTTAAAATCAGGCAATAAAGAATACAGAGCAGAAAGGTCCAAAAGAACCACATAGTGTGCATCAAGAAGAGGCAGCTTACTTCTTTTGACCATGGCCCTTTCACAAGATCAGGATTTAAAACCTTTTGCCACCTATGCAAGCATTGGACATCGGTGCGATCGGTAAAAAAGGCAGCTGGTGAAGTAAAAATGCAAAACAAGACATCCAAATTATACACCCAGATAAAAGGCTAACACCATGAATGAGAGTTCAAACATATGATTAAACATGTTATCACGGCATACAAGGTCACGAGAAAGTTCAAAAGGCAACTCTTAGGGTATGCCTGATAGCACCCTAATATCATAATATTCTATGATAATATAGAATCTATAATGATTTTAATTTATTGAGTTCATATGCCATGTTTGATAGGGCCAAATCATAAAATAATTTTATATTCAAATAACCCCTAAATATCTAAATCCCCAATTATTCAACTTGGAGTTGAATTTGCAGAATTCAGTTTCTCCATCAAAATTGTTGTGCTTCTCTCTCTTTAGCTCATCCACTCGTCTATCTCCTTGGTCTCTCAGCAGATATCTTCTCTTTCACGCTATCCCCAAAATAAAAAGTTGCAGAACCCTACTCCTTTGATCCTTCTATTTATTAAGAAAAGAAGAAAACAACGTAGAGAAAAAAAAAATATTCAAATAGCACCATAGATGTCTTCTGCTTGAGAATGGCCTTGGTCCCCGGCCACGAAGACCACAACTTGGCTATGCAACTCAACCAGCTCTAACTAGGTTGCTTTTTCACTCTAGCTCTCTCCATATTGTGGCTTACTTTAATTGCCTCACACCACCTCCCTGGAGCAGCGTACAAATTAGAGAGCAAAACATAACGGGCTGAACTCTCGGGTTTGAGTTTTAACAGTTCCTGTGCAGCCAATTCAGCTAATTTGATATCACCATGAATTCTACAAGCACTGATCAAAGCTCCCCAAACCGCTCTATCCGGCTCAACCGGCATGGTCTGGATAATGGGCATGGCTTCCTAAAACTTTCCATGCTCTTTGATCATAGAAACAAAGAATTCACAGGCTTCATCCACTTAGTCCCAATGGTTATAGGCTGAGAGAACAGAGATAAAGGTTATATGCGGTGGTAAAACCTTTGATTATTTCATCTCTTCGAATAGCAGGATGGCCTTAAGTGCACGGCCATGATGGGCACAACCCCATATCAGTGGATTCCAAGAGACCATATCTCCATGAACCATCGCACTGAACACCTTCGTAGCATCCCCCATGTCTCCATAAAACCTAACCTTTTCATCTAGAGAGAGAAGAAAGAAATCCCTTGACCTGCACGAATCCCTAAAATCCTATGCATAAGCCCTTTATGAACTGTAGAGAAATGGAGCCAAAGGCAAAGAGAGAGAAAACAATGGCGACATTACTTTCTTTTGGGATTCAAGATATGGGTTTTTTATGATGGGATTCTTGCTTTTATGTTTATCTCTAGACTCTTTACTTCGATATTCAAACAGATGTACTCTTTCTCTTGAAATCGATGAGTTGGTCCTTTTTTTTAACAAATTTATTTACTTTTTGTTCAAACTTCATAAATTGCACTATTTTATTTTATTTTTGTTTTATGATTTGGATTTTTGTGTTGCTTTGTTCGTGTGTTTCTTGCATTTCTTTCCATATCATTCATCACCCTAACAAAAATTAATTTTATCAGCCAAATGGTCATAAATTTCAAGTATAAGAAAATTCTGAAATACCGGTAGACAGTCAAATGTGCACAGAAAAACACATATCTAGATAACTTAAATCTAGATTATATAGAAAGTAGACAAGATCTTTATTCAAATTTCTAAAAATTTGAATATTCAAATTCTGTTTTGTCAAACATACTCTTAATGTTTATAAAACCCAACGAGTAAAAACTGAAACACAAGAAAAAAAATCAAAACCAGTCAACATCATAGAAGATTAACACATTGAAGCATGAAGAAGGATGTTGACCAGCTGAATTGCAATAGTGGCCATTAACTGATGCAAAAAACATCCTGGAATACAATAAAAGTCCCCCTCAGGTTATTCCCAGCAACTATGAGATCCACTAGCCCATTTCAGCATCTCAAATGTTATAGTGGTGACACCCCACAACGTGCAAAAATGCAATCTTTTGATGTAATCTGGCATATGCCCTCTTTGATTAGTTCAAGTCATGCCCTTGTAAGGACATAACATTTCTTTAAATAATGCCAAAAAAGAAAGCCAAAAAGACCTCAAAGTATGTACTAAAATGCATCTTTTGAGAGGAAAAAAAACAAACAAAATGTCAATTTCAACTAACAAAAAAATGATGATTCGAGAGAAAGAACTATCTTTTATTAGTTAATGAATCGAGCAGAAAAGAAGATTCATTGCCTATTTAAAACAGACATTTACAGCATTACACTCAAATTGTGTGCTACATTTCTCAGGAAAAAAATAATGGTGTCATCTTGAAGTTAGATCCTTACCACAAACAATTATGTCAGCTTTATTGGCCACCATCAGTAATAATTCTACTTTACATTATCAACCCTAATTCCAAAACCAAAAGTAATTTTCACAATGATTCCATTGTGAAAAAAAAGAGTCTTGCCTTGAAAGAAATAGATAGTAAAGCATGTATGGTCAACGCAAGGCAGTGACCAAAAAATCGCAGATACGGATCAGGAATCAGTAGGTATCGTGCCGGTTACTAGGTTGGAGGTTCGAACCCCCTCCTAGTGCTCAAATAGCATAAACCTCCAACTTCTTTTTTTTGGCTTTCTTTGTTCTTATTTTATTTTGTCTTATAGCCGATCCAGCCAATCAGGATTGGGATAAGTGTGTGGGCGATCCACCCCACCAATCCATTTTTTTTTAAACAATGATGCAGGCAAATTGAGTGTGGCTAAGAAAATATCAGGAAATGTGAACAAAGCAAAACAATCAAGGTATAGCTTTCAAAATTATAACATCAAATAGTTATAAGCAATACTTTCTAGCAAAAAAATCAGATATATATCATAAAAATAGAATACATTCACCAAATTACCTATTTTTTTCCAATTCTTTCCATTATAGTAGTGAACAGCTTTCCTCAATATTTCATCCTGCAATCATATTTCAGATTAATCAAGCAAGATTCCATCGTGTCAATATTAGCACGCAAGATAGGCAGCAATACAATCAACCAAAAGCCATAGCATAGCCTAGGACCAAGACAAAAACTAGTAGAAAAACTCTTAAACACCACAGCCACTACAAATAGAAGCAGACGCAACAAGAAGCAATGGATATATTTTAAAATTATCTTAAGCATGCCAAAATCCAAATAATTGCATGATTAAAACTCCTAAAAAGGAAAGCAAACCTTATGAAATATATAATTTGACCTAGCCTTGAACACGCATTAGAAGAGGGTTTCTTAAAAAGCTAAAAACAAAAATGAAATATTTAAAGGCATCAATTTAACTCAATTTTACTATCAATGTTCTCCAATTCAGTCAAAAAATGTTTAACATTGAGGCCCATTATATTTAATGGATACATGTGTTATTTAACTAGCAAGAAAGGAAGAGGCACTATTTTGCCAGATAAAGAACCTGTGAGCTTTTTCTCTTTCTTGAAGATAAGCGAGGCTATAATATACAACCACAAGTTTGGAAATTAAGTATATTCCAATTGAGCCATAGGCATTAAGATCAACAATACTGAGTGTGAGGATTCCATAAAAACAAGAACAAATGTAAGGAACATGACTTTATAAAACTTATATTAGATCGCAAGTATCTGTCAAGTACGCAAATAGAGCAAAATGATAGATCAAGATCTGTATGCATTTCAAAAATATACCAACCAATCTTTAGTAATGCAATGTCAAATGAACAAACTAAAAGGAGAGAAATTTATGCAATAGCCACTGCTAATACCTCTTCTGGCGTCCAACCACCCTTAGTCGAACGTCTTGTAGGACCACTGGTCCTCCTGCAGTGACATCATATCCAAATGTCATGTAAGCTGCATTGCTTGAGTTGGCTACAAGGTGCATACTTATAAAAGAAAAAAATATCACAAAAAGATATGTTTTACTATATAATCAAGGTGTAACAACCAAAACAGTAGAATGACCCACACTATTTATGGTGACTGCACTCTGCATGTGGTCTATTAGTTCCAAAGGTAGAAGCAAGGACTTGAGTTAGGACTCACCAGGATCCCAAGTTTGAGTCAGGCACCTCAACTCACCTATGTATTAAAAAATTAAGAGTAAAACCTAGGGAATTGGCAACACTAGGACAGTTCACAAGGTTTTACCTCCTGACATGGCAGCCTCCCAAGTCCAAGTAACTTGGGCGAGTCCAGGATGGACTCACCTAGTTTTCAAACACTGAGCTCAGCACTCTTGGGCCAAGTCAACTCGGTGAATTTCAACTAAAATGCATGATATTTATCATTCCCATGAACTGTGTTGTTTCTTTAGAATTATTTGCAATTATACCAAATATTTCCAATACTTCACATTAGTGGCATGGGACGAATTACTATTACATTAGTGGCATGAGATAAATTACAAGACTCCAAGTTGAGGGACGAAAGAAACACATTGCAAGGCTATCATATATCTATTCTACATAATTTAAGCAATGTAGAGTACTTATTGAGTATCTCCCCCTATAATAAATACCCTCAGTGATAACTTATTTGGGTAGTTAGAAATCTACATGGAAAAGGAAACTCTCCTTTAATGGATACTTCATCTTTTGATAATATTTTGTCCAAACTATGTCTAGCAAAAAGAGATTCTCTCGTTTTTTTATTATTAATTTTATTGGAAACCTAATCTAATCCCCCAAGTTTCAAATATTTTGCTTTTTGGATATAAAATGCAGTTCAACCCTTTTGTGATCATAACCACGAAACTTGAAACATGCATCGCATGCCTCTCATTAGTAATATATATAAAAAAACGGGACAATGTTTCAGCCCAATTAAGTCCAATTTTAATTTTAGAAAATCAGTAAAAAAGAATAGAGTGTGTAATATGCCCTATCATAGCAGTAAAATATTCCGAACTTACCCATGTGAATTTAACCGCAAATTATTTGCAGTCTCACTGCTCCCATCAGAAAGGGCCGGAGCAGTGACTTGATTTCTACTACTCTCGATAGTAGCATTCCTCTTTGTCCTATCACCGGCCATCACTTCTCAAGTGCAAAGTGCATCCACATGTCCCAAAACGCACTCTCACTCCAAAATATGCCTCCCAAAACATGATCAACTACAAGAATAACTGCAATAATTATGAATAATTATGACTTCACGAAATGGGTAAGCCACAAAATGAAAATTTTGATCAAATATCATTGGAAAATAGAGAAAGTTAACTACAAGGAAACTCATAAGCCAAGAATAACTGATATAGGCCGAAACTCATTTCAAACATGTACAAACTGAGCTTTACAAGTTTCTTCTCAGATGCTGGAAATCCCAATGCAAGCACTAGCTACAGTCATACGAATCTCAAATTGAAACCATATAAAAATGCTATCATAAAGCAAATATGACAAGACTCAAACCAACTATTTGCAACTATTATAACAAATCTCTTGCTAAATATTATACTGATATGGACTGCATTTGCATTACAGACCTATTTTCTGAGAAAAAAGATTAAGAGATACTATTGCATGAAATTGAAATTGATACCGGAAATCAAGCGTATCATTTGCAAACCAGCATATTACAATCTGCTATCATTTGTTTGTTCCAAGTTACCAGAAATCTTAACCTAATGAAGAAGATTTTACAGACTGATGAAAGTTTTTTATTTGCATAAGGGACTTGGAAAAATAAGATGCCATTTCAACATCTCCTTCACATCTTGCTGTTGTTTGCATATTGACATTGTGATATGCTACCTTAACTAATGAGAACCTCTTTGATGAATTTCAAACCATGAACTGCCCTTCATCTACAAATGGAGCCAAAAATCACATCAGTCAATTATTACCTAATCATCATCAACAGTGAATCAAAAATCGGGGAGTCCCACTTGGATTCACCCCAGTTACTCTGACTCGACAGGCTGCCAAGTACAGAACCAAACCCATGGGAACCATCCTTGTCTGGCTAGTTCAATATCTTATTATTATTTGACGAATAGACCAAGTCCTGTCAGACCTAACTCGTGTTTCGCACCTTAGCAAGCACCAGCTTGAGTCTTTGTTTTAAACTACTGATCATCAATGATCTGCTCAAATATGAAACTTGCTAACCCCCTGCAATTTCCTACTAATGTACCACAAACCCCAACCTAAACTTCAAGAAATTGGCAACCAGGAAAATATAAATAACAGAGCAGCCAAGGCACTAAGACCAATAACTATAACAGGATGAACTTTTGTGGCTTAAAAGACTGAAATTCCATCAGTCAACTACATCATGTTCTTTAGGGATTCTATTCTGAAAAGTTCAACAAAGAAAGGCTGAATTACAAGGTCTGAGAACCTAGCAAAGATATATTGTTAAAAGAAAGAAGTTCAACAATGAATCACCTCATAGTTCCAAACTGACATGAAACTCAAATCAACACTAACCTTTTCTAAACACTACACCTGAAACTAAAGCCATGTGCCTGGAAATATCACAAACTAACACTATCCATCTGAAAGCAAATCAGGTCAGATAAACTTTAATGATTCTAACATTTCAGTGTGAAATCTGAAACAAGGACCTAAAACCAAAACAAAAGGGTAGTTAAACAAATCAAATTGAAATTCAAAAAATGAAAGCAGAAAACAAAAACAGTTGGAAATTGACCAAGCCCCAAGATATCAGTGATCAAAAAAACGAAGAAGAAGAAAAGAAAAGGAGGAAACATCAAATAAAACCTAACGGTTAACAAGTTTCTTCTCTGATATATCCTCCAAATCCCCCCATTACCAAGTCCAAATCCATTGCTAACTTATTACCATTAAACATTCAACTGATAATCAAATTTGAAACAATAAACTAACCCAATTCACAGTCAACCAGAAGCAACTTTTTCCCAAGTTCTTCCCAAGTAATAGACCCAGAATCTAGCTTCATTGTCCACGAATGTGCCAATTTCCAATTCAACCAATTATACCCTAACCGTTATCAATCTCTTCCCAATAATCAGACACCCTAGTCTAAATCCCTCGCACAGATGCCACTACGAGCTAGTAAATGAACCACAAATGAAATCAGAGCCCACCCTAAAAAATCCCTTCCAGTTTCTTCTCGGATACTACTAACCCAAATAAAAACCTCAAAAAATAATGAAATTCAATCAGAAAACGAGCCAAGACCAGCAACTCACCTTATCGCCAGCGAAACAGATGAATTCTGCAAAAAACCTTCCGAAAATCTCCACTCAAGAAGGCGCAACCAGAAAAAACACAGGGAAATGCAGTAAATCGAGGCAATTTGCATTGGAAAACTCCTGATCATAAACCCTAATCCGCTGCAAATGCTCTCGATCTGCAGCGGATTTTGCCCTAAATTTTAGAGAGAGAGAGAGAGAGAGAGAGAGGGAGTGAGAGTGAGTGAGATTTCAGAGAGAGAAAGGCTTAGGAGCGATGCTCCTTTTATTGTATTCGAATGCAAATGGGCGGCTAAGCCATAACGCTTAAATATCGTGCAACTTTGCCGAGATCGGACGGCTGAGCTTCGCTGTTGGGTCACCGGTAGGTGCCTGTGGAGTGGGCCCCATGTCTGGCCGCGAGCCCCTTGCAATTTTGAATCCGAAACGGTCACGGACCGAGCGGTGCCGGTCATGCTCTTGACCTAACCGGACGAACCGGTTGGATCTATTTTGGCATATGGGGTTTTAGTCATAAAGTGTGGCCCCATTTTTAGTAGACGTTTGGGACTTTTGGTTTGCTTAAATATTTTGCCCTTCTTGTGTTTGAATTTGTTCAGTTGAAATGGCACATATAGCCTCAAATTTTTCCACAAAAAATAAAAAAAGAAAATCAAATAACCTCTAATTTTGGAACAAAATTAGCAATAAAAATTTCAAATCATCTCAAAAAATAATAATAATGTGAAATTAATAAATTAGATGATGATTAAATAGTTGAGAAAAAAAACTCTAATAATGATGATTAATTCAATATAATTTTATGTCAATGTCGGTCCAAAATAACGAAATCTTCTCAGAAGTATGTTGCTACATTCATACCCCTTCATCGAATTTTCTATTGCTATGAAATTGTCTCCAGATTTGGACCTTGAAGATCCAAAGTTTAACCTAATAGTCTAAACTCGAATTGAAACTTTTTACCTAAGCATATATCAGAACTTGAAGGTACGAAGTTGTTTTAGACATTGGCGGACCGAAACAATGTTGTTAACAGCAATACCAGAGTGGAATAACTTATGAGCTTTGAGATTTGGAACTTTGGATCTTCAATGCCTAAAATATGTTTTGAGTGAAAAGCCTCTCTAATCCGAAGTTGGACTATAAGGTTCAAGTTCAGAACTTCAAAGTCCGTAGTAGGGATAATTTGAAAAAATAAGAAAACAGATAAAAACAAATAAAAAAATAAATATACTTTTTTAAAATGATTTCTTACATGACGATTATTCAAAAATATATTGCCATCAATTTTTCTAAAATCAACTGAGATACCAATAAAGTTTTCTAGAAAAATAGTTTCATTTCAATAACTCCTCAATTAGTTTTCTAAAGAATAACCTAACTGCCATGTTATAGGGTTGGAACCCTGAACAAGTGAAAATATTATAGGAATTTCACTCACTTAATTTACTTTAACAAAATGAGGTAAATACTCTATGTTTCTTACATATTCCAAGTCCCAAACATGTTTTTTTTAAAAAAACTTATTCCGAAAGAATTAGAACAAACCTAAAGTATTTTGGTTATTTGATTGGAGTGACTTAGTGACCAATTACCAAAATACACTAAATGTTCGGGGTACAAACCCAAAATAATAATAAATTGGACAGTTTTAACAAAAATCTTGAGGAGGTATCTATGTCAAAACATTAAAATAAAATAACCACTTTATTATTAAAAATTGTTGATTGGACCACCTCATTGATTTTTTGTTAGGTTGTATATCAATTATAAATTTCCTATAAATTTGAACCACTTATAATTTTGTAACAACTAAAAGAAAAAGGCATTTTTTGAATGTTATGACAAACTATTAAGAGCAAAATAGCTTATTGGCTTAGTAGATCAATATGACCATGTGAGGAACTGGTTATAGGAGGCATCAATTTTGGATAAATTTTTTGTGGACATGATCAAGGAAAACATGGAATTTTAAGAGAGAATCAAAGGGGTTAAATGATCCTATTAATATTGTAGGTATATTTTTTATTTTTTATTTCACTTAGGTATCTCCTCAAAAAAAGTAAAAAAATTACAAATTTTTCTTATTAAGAATTGGGAAGAATGAAGAACTAGAGGTATTTCAATAATTTGACATTCAAGAGGTCTGAACCGAATGATGAAAATACATTTACTTATTCCTTATTACAAACAAATATCACACTATTCAAAACCAATTACATGGAGGAACTAGGAGTTTTTTTTATCATTTGGCACCCAAATGCATGTATCAAATATAAAAAATGTCTCTAGTTGTTCATCGCCACTAATCATGAATAATGTATTCATGATTTGTAATGAGAAATAACTAGAGGCATACATATTTCTTGCATCGTGTGTCCCATATTGATTTTTTTTTTTTGTGTGTGTGTCTGTGCGAGAAATAACTAGAGGCATGCACATTTCGTGCATCGTGTGTCCCATATTGATATTTTTGTGTGTGTGTGTCTGTGCTTTTTGATAAACTTGTTTCTCTCTACAATCAATTACAAAAATGATAGTGGGTGAGGAAGGACATGCTCAATTAATTATCTAATAAGTGTACAATAAAATTGTTTTACTTTTGGTTCTATGAGTTACAATCATCCATAGCAATCAAGTTTTGAAATTTGGTAATTAGGTTTGCACCATTAATGGTACTCCAAGTCAAGAAATATATTTCTCAAATTTCATGCTGAAAAATAAGACACCCTTAATTGCCTAAATTCACTTCTCACATGCTGAAAGTGATTGTAACCTTGTAATCCCTTGAGTTGTAACATGTAATCGCTTATGTTGGCTACAATAAACTAACATGGAAATAAGTAAGTTAATCATGAAGGTTATGGTTTCTACAAGTCCTAGGACTTATTTGTAAAAATGCAGCACCCCTTAATAATCTATTTTTAAAAAAATATTTTGACCCCAATTTTTAAGGAATATGTAATTCATGGCATGGAGATCATCCTGGTGTAAAAAGATGTAAAATTCTTAAAAACTAAAAATAACATTATTTTGAAAAAAACATTTAATACGTTGATTTTTTTTTTTTTTTTTTTTTGAGGGACCACCATTTAAATGTAGGAATATATATAGGGTGCAGTTGGTTTGTATAGAGAGGCTCTAAACAATCAAAGTAAAGCTCACCTTCAAAAAGTATCGAGAAAAATGGTTAAAATATTGGAAATGTTTGCCATAGCCTTAAAATATATTTTTTATATTTAATTATAGCTTCAAAAATACTATATGAAAATTTGAAAATTGACGGTAAAAAATTGCATTACAAGATGTACTATTTCCAAAACTTGAAATCAATGTTTTTCTCATATCCATGCATCTTTAGGACGAGATAATCAATTTGAAGATATTTAGGCATCAAAACAATCTCTTTTAATGAAATTTCTGAGGTGCACTCTAATATGATTGTTTGGAGCCTCGCACATATATAAGATCATATCGATATCGAGATGTAAGATCACGAAAAATAAAAAGATTTTAAGTCTAAAAAATAATGTATTTTACAACATATTATCTACACCGTCATTTTTCAAGATTTTCATATGTTTATAGATCTACTCGATTTTAACGATTTTTTAAATTTAAAATTTTATAATTAGATATAAAAATATATTTTGAGATAATCCTAATAACATTTTACATCGAAATTACATACCATGATAAAATTTGAAGGTGCACCTTACCTCTACAGCTACGGATGCATCTGTATGCCAACTGCACCTGTAAAATAAAAGGCAAATAAGCAATGTTATTCTTAAATAAGGAAGCCAACAAACTTTTTTACTTGCGTTATCTAATGTTTTCCATTATTGAGCAACATTTTTACTAGGGGTGACAATGGGTCGGGTTGGGTCTAGCTAGACCCATACCCGACTCAAAAATTAAAGTATCTATGTATTTAACTATATTTTATATATTGGCACTCGAAAAATATTACCGGACCCATAGCTAGACCGGGACCCGAACAGTGTTTGGGTCAAAGATTTTGACTATTCGGGTCCAAGATTCGGACTCATACCCAACCCGCTGAGTCTAATTTTCGAACCCATACCTAAACCTAAGTCAGATCCAGGTCCATTGCCACCCCTAATTTTACGTGCATAAGCTAAAGGCAACTCATATGTTCATTTGTTCCATGAACATACGGGTAGGGTAGCGAAGACCTCATGTATGTTTCATTCTGTCATTCCAGCATGTCAATGCCATACTAAAAACACAAGCTTTCTCTCTACATTAAGGCAAAAATTGACCTGTTACAAATCAATGACTATGAAATGATGTAACTTGAAATACCCTAAAGAATGTCATGGACCACCATAATTTTTCAATGCGGCAAAGAAAAGATGCCTATACATTAAACTCTAGGGAAGACCAATTCAGGTTGTTAGATATGGAATTTTGGGATCCACTTAAAATCATTGAATCAAAATTTATATGAAAAAAAAGAAGAAGAAAAAAACAACATTGACTTTTTTTTCCTAAACATTAAAATTTTGAACCATTTATTGACTTTTGTGTGTGATCCATATGCCGAGGCCGTAATAATCTTATATATCCTTCTAATATGTCTCTTAAACTCAATTAATTAAAAAAAAAACTCTGATGATGATAATAATAATGATGACAATGTCTTCGAAGAAATTACAACTTTGAATTCTTCAGCACATAAATCTGAGCATCTAAAATTTAGACAGTATTTGTTAAATCCTAAGGAGTTATTTTTTAGAATGATATTAAGCATGTACCAGATTTGTTTTTTTAGGTTGATCACCAAATTTTGTGTTCCTTAACATACGCTTTGTCGGGAGGGAGTAAATGGGTGTAATGTTTTTGCTGGAGTATACAATGTTTTGGGGGATTATTAAATAGAGCTCAAAAGTAATATTAATTTTTTTAGGTAATTCAGTAGGGAAAACAGACCTTTACCCCTTTTTTCAAATAGTTAGGGAGTTAGGTTTTTTTTTTTTTTGAAGATGTTAATGTGGCAGAGTAAGTAAGAATGAAAACAACAAAGTAGTTACTAAGATGTAGTGGTGCTACAACCACGACCATGAACCAACCCTTTCCCCATAATATTAGAAATTTTAATCCTTAAAGAATTGCAAACCAGACATGGACAAGTACATGCCCAATTATTAAGCTCTAAACCTATCGTCTCAATCAATAAAAATCAAAATATTGGTTTTTTTTCATAATCGATATATGCTATTTATATAGAAAAAAAAATAGAATTGTAAAGACTATCGGTGTTTTAAAACCCATCTATCCGGATTGAGAATTATCGATCTAGATCATAAATCAATTGGGACCGAATCACTACCGGCTCAATCCCCGCCCTCGTTCTCCCATATTTTTATTTTTAATTTATAGTATTGTTCCAAAATGCCATTTTGGACAGATTCAGACAGCCGGTCCGATACAAATATGTAAGGTGAACATTCCATGCCATTGATTCGGGCTTTGAAACATCTATGTAAGGTGAACATTCCATGCCATTGATCCGGGTTTTGAAACATCGATAGAGATTTTCTAAATTTTTCACCGTCGAATCTAACAATCTGAAATTTTTCGTTTTCATGAATGAATACTCCCATGGTTATTTACAAAGTGGGATTTGAAATTTCATATTAAAAAATCCTCCACAGCTGGTCATTTGCCATGGAAAGAGTAAGTGTATAGTGTGCTCTCGTGGACTACGCATTTTAAGTTTCCATACTGGAAAACATATGCGTCACCCAAGGGTCCATCAATATTGTCTCCACCCTCTCCCATTTTTTGTTTTGACCCACACATTGTCTTTGGATCTGGTGAAGAAGATCGTGGGAGAAAATGATAAAAAAAAATCCACAAAAATAGCCCATAGAATTGATATTAGTGCTCATCGAGTTCATATAAGTGTTTCAAAACCAAATCAATGGGGCAGATCATTTACCTACAGATCTATATCGGATCATTAGATCGGCGTTCCAGATCGGTCAGGATTAGTCCGAAACATTGTGCCAGTTTTGGGCCAAAAACAAACGCTCCTAAAGTCCCAAGAAAGGGGAATGGTGGACCACTGCAACAATCCGCCACCTGGGTGCACTAAATATTTTCCCATACATCAATATCTTCCACCACCATCATCATGACCCAATCCACCACACATGAAATCTTCTTTGCAAAGCTCTATTTGCCGCTCACGTGCCAAGCGTACGTGTGGCCGATACCTCCCTTCATTCCTCATGACATTTATTGTACCTTTTCCCAAATTATTATATATTTTATTGGCTTTATTAAGGATGTTATAAACAATAAAGCGAGGTATCATGTAAAGCTGCCTTCCATCGGTGCTTGGTAGAAAAAATTAAGAGAAATTTATCCGAATCTACTTAAAAAATGTATTATTTAACAGTGTATTTATATTTTATTTTTAAAAATTCTATCAAAATATATATTATTATAAGCTAGAAAAGTAAGATCTAGGTTTCTATTCTCACGTAACTCATTACAAAAATCACTAACGATTTGAAAAAGTAGTAGGGGCTCGTGATCCTCACTAAATTACCTCAAAAAAAATAAAACATGAGAGAAAAAAATAAAATAAACAAGTAAAAAAATAAAAATTTACCATTGATTATTTATTCTATCTTTTTTATTTAATTGGGATTTTTAATCACAATTATAGCCAGCAAAGGTATCTAAAATCTCATTTTTTCAAAAGGGAAAATTATTAAAACACTAGTGTCAAAAAACCCTTTTTTCAAAAGGGAAAGATGATGTATGTATAAGGTTGCAACCTTAGATAAACAAATTAACACATAACTCCAAAATTTATCATAAATATAATTTTGGTGTAAAAAATTCATAGGTTGGCTTGAGAATATATTTCCATATCTAATTATAAAATCTAAAACTCAAAAAATGGTTCTAATCAAGTATATCTATAAACGATTGAAAATCTCGGAAATATAATATGTTGTGAGATAAAGTATTCTTAGCACTCGAAATCTTTTTTTCTTTTTATATTCAAACATATTGATGCCGAGATAATCAATTAGAGGGTTTTCGAACATCAAAACAACCTTTTATGATGTATTTTTTTGGTGCATCTTAATTCACATTTTAAGGATGCAACCTTATATAAAATATCGATAGAAACATGAACCATTCTTCTTGCTATTTTTTATTTTAATTTGAAAATATCCAATAAAAGGTGCATGATCATGAGTTGGAATACTTGCAAACGTACTCTGGTTGTTTAAATAGACTAAATTAGTATGGAGTTTGTGCTAATATGCGTGTTGCTAAGATGGACCACAATGATGGGACCACCACAAATTTGGAGCCAAATGTTTTATGTGGGGTCCATATTTACAATGTAGAGGTTCTTTTTACCGTCTCTCAAATAAATGGACGGTCCAGATGAGATGGCTCATTCAAATGTCAATGAACCTGGCTCATTTTATCATTTCCTTTATTATGTTTATGGGTCGAAGCATGTGAAAGTCACAAGGGATTTCTTTTGCCTGCTTTACAGGGGAGCCTCGTGACCTAATTTACACAAATCACATGGTGCCTCTTTTAATTTTGTCATATAACTTTTCTTTTAATGGTTGCATTATTATAAGTTAGGAAAATACATTATTTTCCATAAAATCATAGTCTACGGCATGCTTAGTTTTTTTTGGTGGTTTAGTGGCACGAATCGAACTTGAGATGTAGTGTTGTTTGATGCCAACTGTTAACCACTTAAGCCCAAGCACAATTCCTGGAGGCGTGCTAGTTGATTTCTCCAAAATGTCACAAAACTAGGCTCGTAAATTGGTTGGGTCTGGTCCAGGTTGATCCTGACATGAACTTCAATCGACAGAGTCCTGGGTGCACCTAAACCTGGTTGGGTCCAAGTCAATCAGACACGGATTGAACAAATCAGGTTGGTTTGGGTCTAATTCAAAATATAAAATCATAAATGATATACATTGTATAATATTATAGATGTACATTACATATACTTTATGGTATTGGTAATAATAATAAGATTTATAAATATACTGGGTCGAGTCACCCAACCCAGGAAAGTCCAGACCCAGACCTTGGCTGAATTGGCCTGTCGGTCTATTAAACTTTATTGCAACCATAAAATTCACAAACTTATGTTTCTAATGATGATTATATCTCTATAAATTAGTCTCTATTTCTATCTCATATGAGAGACTTCTCCTTTTATTTTTTTACATAGTGTTGATTTCATTTTTTTTTATTCTTTATTTACATTATTTTATTCGACTACCTATAGATTTTCAGGGATTTTCTATTGTTAGTTGTGAACTTTGCCTCTTTCTTTTACTATTGAACTTATTCATTTATTTATTTATGATAAATTTATCAAAATACACCTAACTTCTCAACAATTTAACAAATTACCCTTTTTCAATTATTCTAACTCAAAGTTATAGTGTTACACATATTTTAATGAATTTTGAATTTAAATAAAAATAATATTGAATAGTTGATCACTTATGTATATTTAAATAATAACAACGTTGAATAGTTGATCACTAGTGTTATGTATATTTTTGTATAAGGGTGAGGCCCTAAACAATCAAATTACGGCACACCTCAAAAATTCATTAGAAATGGTTATTTCGATGATGAAAAACACTCAATTCGACCATCTCGACTTCAAGATGTATGGACGTGAGATAAAATAGATTTTAAGTCATGAAAATGGTACATCTTGTAATGTATTATCTAGACAGTCAATTTTCAAAATTTTCAAGTATTTATAGATCTGTTCGATCTACACTATTTTTTAAGTTTAATTTTATAATTAGAGATGAAAATAAAATTTCAGGTGATCATAAGATTTCTAATACTAAAACAACATATTTCGGCACCATTTGAAGAAGCGCCCCTGCTTTGATTGTTTCGGGCCTCTGCCTTATACAAACCACAACCTTTATTTATTTTGATAGGCCACATACACATATCCAGACAATGAAACTCTACCATAAAAAGAAAATGCCCTCGAATGTTTTTGAGATGGAATGTATTTTTCTCAGTAGGCTTCATAAATGTCTCCATTTATGCTGAAAATCACAAAACATTGAAAATATTGATAGGACAAAATTTGAAAAATCACTCATATATACTTATTCAATGATGATTTTACTTTTAAATTAACAATGTTTTTGGTAATGGGAAAACCCTCTTTGATTAGAAAGACAAGGCTAATTTCAAACGTTTCACTCATATAATTAACCAGCTTCTAACCATAAAAGATTAGAAATTATTAACAATAAAAAATCATAAAGCCAATTTTAATAACTTTGAATGCATAGTAAAGAGTTTCATGTTTTAGGAAATTTAAATAGAGTGAATATAAAGAGGTATACATATTATTAACAAATAACTCACACCGAATGACTCTATGAATACTAAAGAGTTTATTGTTCTAGTAAATCTAAATTAACAGATGAAGGTGGAGAGAAATAAAAATATTTTTTTTAGAATGTTAACAATAAATATTATTAACAATAAAAAGAAAAAAAGAAATAAATATTATTAACAATAAAAAAGAAAAAAAGAAACGCAAATTGAGTTAACTTTTAATGATAATAAAGAGTTTATACTGGTAGCAATTTTCAATTAAATGAAGGTAGATAAAAATAAATATGTTTTAGATAGAGTTTGGAAACACTCGATTTTAATTACTTTCAATTAATGGTAAAGAGTTTATAGTTTTAGGAAATTTGAATTAAATGAAGATAGAGAGAAGTAGATTTCGAGAAAAAAGTATGGCACCTAATTTTGCAGACATAACTGTGGACAACGGTTTCTTTCTAAAAGTGAGGTCAGAGTTTTTTAGCACATGAGCTTGGAGTGTACCATAATCAGCCATGAAAACCTCTCTCTCTGCAACTGTTTAATGACAGAAATTCAGAACATTAAAAACTGTTGGTGCCTTCTCCAGCTAACTGCTTTCTGTTTGCATTTTAATGGATTTTGACATATGCTCACAAGTATCTCTCTCGTCTCTTTCTCTCATCTGTATTTTTTCTTCTTTTTTTTCCAACTTAATTGGACCCACCTCAGATTTTCAAGTATATTTGCATCTCTCTTTCTCTTCCAATTTTATTGGACCCATTTCTGATATTTAAATATATCTGCATCTCTCTGTCTCTCTCTCTGGTTTTTTTCCCAATATTACGAGACCCATTTCTGATTTGCAAATATATTTGCATAATTGCATCTCTCTCTCTCTTTCTCTCTCTTGGTGGGTAACTGAGCCCAAGCGCATGCATGACATCTAACACATATGCAGGTGCGTCTTTTCTGTTTTAAATTTTTAATGGAATTTTGCAGAGAATCTAAGACTGGTTGGTCATGGCTGAAACTCATCTTAAACAGAAGACACTCCATGATTTTCATCTGAGGAACCAACTTCTCTCGATGGCCAAGAACTCAGGCTCGTTCAATTTCCTGCAAATTCAGAAAACTGAGATCACTTCTCTCTCTCTCTCTCTCTCTCTCTCTTCTTCTTCTCTCTCTCTCTTATTTTATACTACAGTCCAAGAAAAGATTGCACTTTTTTTTTTTCAGCCTTCTGTTATATAATGTAGAAGGAACTATTTATTTTTTTTGTTTTATTTTATTGCTTTGCAATACGAATCTCTCTCTCTCTTCTCTTCTCTTTTATACTAAGTCAGAGAAACGATTGCAATTCCTGTTTTTGTCAGCCTTTGTGTTATACAATGGAGAAGGAGCTATTTGTTGATTTTTGTTTTATTTTATTGCTTTGTGATCAGACCCATATGAATATGTTTTGAGATCAGGGAGAAGATCGTTTGAGCAAGATGCCTTCTACAAAACTGTGAGTAAATTTCCATGAAACTGAGATGTATATTTTCTTTATTCAAGTTTAGATTTTTAAACTGAGAAGTTTATTTGGTTTTTATGGAGCTGGATTTTTTTATGTTTTGACCATGTCAGTGGCCTCTCTCTCTCTCTCTCTTTGTAAGCTATGACCCTGTCATGGACTCTATCTGTCTCTCTCTCAATTTTTTAAGCTATGAATCATGACCTTACCATGCTCTCTCTCACACACACAAATTTTAAACTATTGTAAGCTATGAACCTACCACTCTCTCTCTCACACACAATTTTTTAACTTTTGTAAGCTGTGACCCTACTTCTCTCTCTCTCACACACACACACACACACAAACACACACAAATTTTCAACTTTTGTAAGCTGTGACCGTATCACTCCCTCTCTCTCTCTCTCACACACACACAAGGAACAAACCCAATTGTTTATATGGCTGACCATTCCATTCTGATAATGAAACAGAGACCTCTTGTCCTGGATGAACCTTCCACAACAGGTGCTCCACATGCGACACAGAGAAGCTCCAATTCTCTCTCTAGAAGCTGGCAAGAAAAAAAAGGTCCTTCTTTGATCTCCATGGAAGAAAAAAGGGTCAAGCAAGACCACCCAAAAAAAATTGCGGTAAGGTCTTCCTCGAACATGACTGGAAACTACGAAGCTCGGAGCCCAACTTCCTTCCAGCTTCTGCAAATCTCGAAAGGAGCACAAAAATTGAACCAGATGATTCACTCATGGTCTAATCGCCCCAATATCGATTCAAGATCAAGAGAGATAGCTAGGGAATTGTCACGAGGCACTTTAGACCTCGAGGATTCGCTGATCATGTTAGGGAAACTGCAAAAAGCTTCGAGATACAAGGTTCATTCGCAAAAGAAGGAAAAGAAGAGAGAGGGGTTAGAGAGAGAAGGTGAGGAGGAGATAGAAGAAGGCCTTTTGGGGAGAGACCAGAGAAGCATCCATGAAAGAGAATTTGATAAACCGAGGCTTTCGGTTGATGGGTCTTTGAGGAATGGCGCCGAGGATCTTAAAGAGATGATCAGGGAGAGTCTTTACAGGCAAAACTTGCTTCCTCAGACGCAATCAAAAGGGAAATCTCCATTTCTGAACCAGCAAAAGCTCAACCCTGTTTCAGAGTTTTCCTCAGGAAATCCCAGTCGAAATTTTGCGAGTTCTGTGAAGGGGAAGAGTGAGAAAACGATTCTTGATTATGGTACTAAAGCTCCCCTTTCTGTTCTTGCAAATTCGAAGCCCAAAAGGCACAAAGCTCCAAATGTTATTGCAAAGCTCATGGGTCTTGAAGAATTGCCAGTTGAAAAAGCATCCCCAAATATCAGTGCAAGGAGAAAATCCCAAGAATTTGTTAGTGAGAGAATTTCTGAAATCTTAGCTCAATGTGATAGGAAAGAGAATCATCCGGTATCCGCAGTTCGAATGAAACCAGCTAGTGAGAGAAGCTTAATTTCTCAAAGTGATCAGAGAAAGAAACATTCTGGGGTTACTGTTACGATGAAGCAGGATGCCGAGAGAGAGTTCATGGCTTCTCAAAGTGATCAGAGAAAGAAACATTCTGGGGTTACTGTTACGATGAAGCAGGATACCGAGAGAGAGTTCATGGCTTCTCAAAGTGATCAGAGAAAGAAACATTCTGGGGTTACTGTTACGATGAAGCAGGATACCGAGAGAGAGTTCATGGCTTCAAGTGATCAGAGAGGAAAAAATTCAGTTAATGCAGTTCAAATGAAGCCGGATAGTGAGAGAAACTACCCTTTTCTTGATGACCGGGGAGAGAGACATAGAGAGACAATAGTAGAAACGAGCCATGATAGAGGGAGAAGCTACTCGACTCTGAGTGACCAGAGAGAGAAATATCTGGCAGCCGCGGTTTCGACGAAGCCAGACAGAGAGAGAAACTGGTGGTCTAATGGACCGGATAGGTCGAAACTAAAGGAAATTATTGATTCTATGCACTCTAAAGGGATTTTAAAGAGTACCCAAGATGAACTCCAGTTAGAAGCCATTGATCATGGTTTTCACAAAGAACCGAAAGCCGATTTTGAGAATTTCGATACCCCACCTATTGTGATCATGAAACCTCTACATTTTTCTTCATCAGAGGAAGAGGATGGCTCAAAACCAAAATTATCAAAAGAATTTGGAGTTTCAGTCCCTGAAAATAAGCAAAATAAGCCAGGGGAATTGGACGTCAAGAGAAATAAAAAAAAACCAGCAAGTACTGCAAAGAAATCAGATTCAAAAGATCAGAAGCATGAGAAGAGAGAGAGCGCTAAAATTGCAGAGAAGGGTGCTAAGCCTCAGAAGGAAATGAAAGTTAAAAGTGACATTATCTCTCTAAAATCAGTTGGGGTCTCAAGATTTCAGGGGGAATCAATGACAAGAAAACCATCAAAGACCTTGAATCAGGTGAAGAAGGATAATGATAACTTGATGAGAGAGAAACAAGTTAGAACAGTTGTTTCTGGTAGGAAGATTAAGGGCTACAAGAAGAAGCCAACAAAACCAGCACAAGATCCCAATGTCACTCACAAAACAGTAAGTTCAACTTTCACCACTTGATTCTATCTCTAAAGTTGGTGATCTAGGTAGCCTATGCCACACCCTCTTTCTCTCTCTACCTTGCTGGCTAGCTATCAATGTGAGTATAGATTGTGTACATTCTGTCATTGATAGTCCATGAATTTCTTTCAAATTTTCAGGCTGAGGATTTGAATTATGAGAATGATGAGAAGGGTTCGAGCTTCATGCTCGAGAAACACTGTATTGCCATTTCTACAAGCCCAGACTCAGTTCTCCAATCCCAAATACAAACCATTGAAGAAGAGCCTGTAATTCATCTCAGAGGTTAAACTTTCTAGTCCTAAGCCTCTCTCTCTCTCTCTCTCTCTCTCTCTNTTCTCTCTCTCTCTCTCTCTCTCGTCTCGTTACGTTACGTTTACTTTACTTTACTTTACTTTACTTTACTTTACGTTTACGTTTACGTTACGTTACGTTA